TTTTGAATTAACAAAGGGTCCCTCCGGGGCTGCTCACTCATTAAACAACCGGGGCAGCATAGAGATGGATCTTGTCTCCCTCCGCTTCTTTTTTTTAAAAATCCGTTCGTTCGTTCTAGCTCCAGCTGTTTAAATTCAAATTCAAATTCAAATTCCACTGGCTCCGTTGTGCTCCCACGTCATCCGCCAACGACGGTTATTTTAAGAAACTTGTTTGGGGCATTTTTCTTGCTGGTGGTTCCTCTAGGGTAGGCTCTCATTGGTTAGGGCAATGATTTAGTCAATACATACTTACCATATTGATGTGACATTTTGTATGTGATGTGAAGTTGGTGTTATTTAAATTTCAATTTCAATTCCATTGGTGCTGTTGTGCACCCACGTCATCCCGCCAACGATGATTATTTTAGGGAATTTGTTGGGTATCTTTTTGCTAGCGGTCTCTCTAGCTAGGGTAGGCTCTCATTGGTTAGGGTGATGATTTAGTCAGCAGTTACTATCTTGGTGGTGCCGTTTTGTATGTGATATGAAGTTGGTGTCACTGAATGTGTGTTAAATACGTGTTTATGGCTGAGATTTTGCACCCCCATATTTATGGGGTGATTGTTGGTCAAAAGATTTTGTCTTGACCGATCAAAATGCGTTGTGTGTATCAATGTGGGGGCACCGACATGCGGGCTTGAACTGGTCGGTGACACGCTCTCATTCCTTTTACATGTGTGTTACCCTCGTTCTAGGTAAGATCCTAGGAGCTTCGGGGCAAACGGGCACATATCAAGGGAGGGAGACGATGTGTATCGACTAAATCAGGCATGCAGGGTGTTTAATTAGTAAGTCATGCTTGGTTGCCTGTGTGAAAAATATGTCTGGCTCGGGCTACTGGCCCAGGCATTCCATTTAGGAGGCCTGAGGCTAAGATTGCTGGATGCCAGGGGCACTAACCAAACACGCCTAATAGTGTGTTTGGTTCGTAGGAATTAGAGATGGGAGATGGAAGACGAGTGGTGAGGAGGTTAAAAGTCGTCTACTTGATTAAAGGGGGTGGGGGTTTAAGTGGGAAGGGGAATGAGAGCTCAGGAAGCCAATTCCCATCAATTTCTTCCCATGGAGTATCCTATTAGTTCATGGACAGAGTTTCATCTCGCACTACTCCCATCATATATCAAATGAGGAAATGGAAGTAAAACACTGTTCTCATGCCTACTCCACACACAAACTTTCTCGTAGTAACTCCCATTCCCCTGCCCCTATTTACCAAACGTGTTGTAAGTATTTTTGTTTCCATGTGAAAATGTATGCTCCCTCTCCTCCCTCCTGTGAAGCACCTGCATACTCCTTGATCCTTGTGACCGATAGATATGAGTTTTTTTTAAAAAAAGGAGGACATCGCCTTATAACGAACACAAACAACTTATTTCACAAGCACATCAATTTCCTGGCAAAAAATGAACTGAGCCGGATTTGTCATCCTTGTCGTCTAAACTCGCAATCCTCGGCAAACATAATTTGCCATGAAAAATGTCCTATTTGTCATGTGTAAAAATATGACATTCGCAAGATATTCAGGTCCTAAAATAAAAAACACTACATGTTCAAAATGAAACATTTTCATGGCGTATAACACTTTTTTTGTTGGCTCAATCGACG